AGCGAAGATATGCTGTTGATCCTTACGAGTTCAGTTAACTTAGATGTTTAAGAAACCTTATATGTGTGTACAAGGATTTTTGGAACTCATTTATCGCCGTTTTATTATTATTATTTTTTTTTTTTCCTATAGAGTAATTATACCTTCCATATACAAAGACAGAAATGTCAAAAACACCCTTTACAATAATGCGTTTTAGTTATTATTTTAGGAGATTTTATGTATATCCTGTTTAAGATATCGTTTCCTAGAGGTATTGAACATTTCATAGCATCGGAAGGAACAGCATTATTCAATAAGCATTAAGGTCCTGTCACACTAGCACTTTTTTGACAATTTTCTGAAATTTTGTCCATTTTTGAGCGAATTGTCGATTTTCCAGTCAGACGATAATGGTCGTTTCCGTCTGAAAACCTTAACGTCATTTTTTTCAGCCAAGCATAATCAAATCGAGAGATATATTCGAAAATGTTTGTATTCATGTTAAATAAAATTGTAAAAAAAAAAAAAAAAAAAAAATGACGGAAAAAGGGCTAGCGTGACAGCACCTTTACTATGTATTATCGGCAAGATATATGACGCCTTTTTTTTTTTTTTTTTTTTTTTTTTTTTTTTTTTTTTTTTTTTTTTACCCAATGAAATTTTTCATGTAGTGGCATATTCGGTCAGGGAATTATTCGAAAATTATTTTTTGAATTTATTTTCGGATATAGCGTATTTTATCATCTATTTTATCACCTTAGCTTGACTTTTGGTATCGATAGCATGGAATTTTTGTTGATGATGTTGATGTTTTCTGTATCAATAACTATCATGATCGTTTTTATTTGTATTGTCATCATTGGAATTGTTGCCAATCATTTAAATTTTCATTATTCTTGCTGCTTTTATCTTTGTTATATTTATTTTCCTTAATCCTCTTAATATTATTCAATATTCATGATCATAATTCTTTGCTGCTATTCTTTTGGTTATTATAATTATAATTAATATTTGAAAAAGAAAATTAATGTCTTAAATATTAATTTTCGAATATATTGTAAGACATTCCTTCTCCGTCCGGTTTCCCTTCTAAATATACTCTTCCTCTGTCGTATATTTCCCCTTTCTCCTACTTCCTTCCTCGTCCCTCTTACGTCCTCCTTCCTCTCTCTTACATCCTCTCTTTTCCCTCTTCTTTCTCCGTCTCGTTGCATTCCTTAATTCCTTAATTCCTTGCTATTAAATTCGCTATTCTCTCTTATTTCTCCTTGTATTTCTCTCTTCGTTGTTTCGTCCTTCCTCATTCCTCTCTTCTCTATCTTATTCCTTCTTTCTCTTCTTATTCCCTTCTTTTCTCTTCTTATTCCTCTCTTCTCTTTCTTATTCCCTCTCTTCTTATCTTATTCCTCTTTCTCTATCTTATTCCCTTCTTTCTCTTTCTTATTCCTTCCCTTCTCTTTCGTATTCCCTCTCTTCTTAATCTTATTCCCTCTCTTCTCTCTCATATTCCCTTCTTTCTCTTTCTTATTTCTTCCCTCCTTCCTCTTGCACCCTCACTCCACCCTCTTAATTTCTTCTTTTTTCTTCTTACATCCTCCCTCCTGTCTCTTGTCTCTTATTCCCTCCCTCCTCTATTTTCTATTTTCTCACTTCCTTCCTTTCTCTCTCTTGTCCCTTATTCCCTACTCTATTTTCCATTTTCCCATTACCTTCCTTCCTCCCTCCTTTGTCTTGCATCCTTCTCCCTACTCCCTGTTATTCCCTCTCTCCTATCTCTTATTCTCTTCCTCCTTTATTTTCCATTTTCCCGCTTCCTTCTTTTCTCCCTCCTGTCTCTTATTCCCTCCCTCCTCTATTTTCCATTTTCCTACTTCCTTCCTTTCTCCCTCCTCTGTCTTGCATCTTTCTACTTCCCTCTTACGTTATCCTCCTCCTCCTCCCCCCCCCCCTCCTTTCACCCTCATGTATCCCTCTTAAATTTTGACGGAAAATCAATGCAATGATAGAAATATTGCACGTGAATCGTGCATAACAATATAATAAATTGTATTTTTTTAATATCACAGCTTTTTTTTAAACTGTATACTTGTAATATTTTTTCGCTTAACCTCTTCCAATAAAAGTTGTTTTATTATTATTATTTTTATTTTTTTTTTATTTTTATTTATTTATTTTTTATTTTTATTTTTTTTTTTGGTTAACTTATGCAATGCCATCAAAGCGTATTGACTTTATATTTCAACATGTAATAATATTTTAACTATTGCCTGCAGAAGTTTATTCATGACTTATTTTAGAGTATCAGTTGTAGGTGAATTGATGTGTTGATGATGCAACAACACTCATTAAAATGTAATTTAATAAATGTTTTGTACTTTTTACAGCCTAAGATGGAAAAAAAATGTGGTTCCACGTAACTCTTTTTTTCGTATCCTTGTTCATAATTTAATCCATACCCATATATTCCACTTACGTTTTAAACCTGATATGGAGTTTCTTGAAAGACAGACTCTGATATATAATGGTACACGATGACATTGCTAAATCAGGAAAAGAATTAATAAAGAAAATAATAATAAATAAATAAATAAAAAATGAAAAATAAAACTGTGTAGCTACATATATGCAATACCATTTTTATTGTTATGGTTGGCACTCATTTCATATTATTTTCTCTTCCTTTGTACAAAGTTATAAAGTTCAACGAAATTTCATATTCACTTAATATGATGTTAATTGACATTAGTTTTAACGCACGTGATAATGAGTATGATTGGTGTTAATATCAATATTCTTATAATTAGCGTTATTAATCTTATTGTTGTTATCCTTTGTTCTTGTTGCTTTTCTTCTATCTTCTTCTTCTCCTTTACTTCTTCCAATATTTCTTCTACATTACTTTTTTTTTTTCTTTTACTTCTCTATTTGTCTCCTTCTTTTTCTTCTTCGTTTTCTAGTTTTTCTTCCGTTTTTTTTTTCCTCCACTTAAGACTCCAAACATTACCTGAAGAACATTTTCGGAAAAAAAAGACCCTGAAGTCTTGCCACAAGGACGACCTCGCCTCCAGACCTGACCCTCGACCTTCCATAAATTAGAAAAAGGTCACAGTTTAAGTGCGTGGTACTGACGTGGCGTCCGACGTTGAAGGAATTTACGGCACTTCGGGTTAAACGTCGACGCCACTGATTTAGTTGTATTTCTCGTGCTAATTCTCTGGTTGTCTGGGGAGGAGGGAGAGAGGGGGGGGGGGGAACGCAGGCTCTGGGCGTAAGCGGGTCTACGCACACACACGCACACACACACACACACACACACACGTACATATTTATGTATATTATATATATATATGTATATATATATATATATATAAGTAGTTCTTGTATGGACAGAATAGCCTCACCCCCATGGGTCCCCCCCTATGTACCTAACGTGTCATAACAGGAAGTGACCTAATGACTTCCGGAAGTAATTACCGTAATCGATTACGGGAAATCAGTAACCTTGACTAATGATGGAGAACACGCACACCTGAAGGGGTGCCCCCCCTCCCTTTCCTCTCCAAAACAACAATAATAATAATGAGAATACGAGAAAGAGGAAGAGAAGAGAGGAAGAAGAAGAAGAAGAGGAACAACAAACAAACATGGATCCTGTTGCCGCAGGTCAAACTATCATCCTAAGAGCAGGTGTCACAGGTTCCAATACCCCAACCCCTCACCCAAAAACACCTTGGACACAGCAGCCTCACCCCCATGGGTCCCCCCCTATGTACCTAACGTGTCATAACAGGAAGTGCCCTAATGACTTCCGGAAGTAATTACCGTAATCGATACGGGAATCAATAGCCGTGACTAATGATGGAGAACACGCACACCTGAAGGGGTGCCCCCCATTCCTTTCCTCTCCAAAACAACAATAATAATAATAATAAATAAGGAGAATACGAGAAAGAGGAAAGAAGAAGAAGAAGAAGAAGAAGAGGAAGAAGAGGAACAACAAACAAACATGGATCCTGCTGCCGCAGGTCAAACTATCATCCTAAGAGCAGGTGTCACAGGTTCCACCACCCCAACCCCCTCACCCAAAAACACCTTGGACTCACCAGCCTCACCCTATGACTACCCTCTTATCCCGCTATGCACATACCTGACGTGTCATAACAGGAAGTGACCTAATGACTTCCGGAAGTAATTATCATAATTGATTACGGGAAATCAATAACCGTGGCTAATGGGGAATAATACGCACACCAAACAGGTGTCCCCCAACCACCCAAGTCCCCACCCCTTCATTCCCACCGCCCAGGTCACGCGCAAAATTAAGCCATTACCGATGTGAGTCAGGTCAGCGAAATCAATAACAGCATCTATTCGTCATGTTTGAACATGTGGGATGGCTACATTGTCTTAAAACATCTCAATAATAAAGTTATCCCCTCAGAAGTCAGGCACAGACACTAATTAATCAGATATTCACAGTTTGTTCCCCACAATCGAAAAGCACCTCGTTTATAAGTATAGAGTTCAGCGGAAAGGAGTATAAAATTCGTTGTACTCAATATGTCTTTATTTTTCCCATCATTAAAAGCCCTCTAGCTAGTGATAGTTAAGAAGCATCTCATTGATCACCCCTTTCACTAATGACGCCGTTAATAATTAAAGGAAGGCCTGCTCAAACACAGGTCAGCTGCATCCTGAACAGATGTCAGGTCAACTGCAGAGTCTGGGAGATATCGATTAAATAATTACTTTTCCTTCCTTGCTGTGTTTCAGCACTCTCAAAGCATCTTAGATATACGAATCTAAATTTAATGAAAAAGATTATAAACATCTCTATACTAATTATCATTTTTTTTATATTTCTTGTATAAACACAAAATGATTTAATAGAATTCATTATAAAACGTCAAATAGAAATGCACACATCTGTCGCCCGTCGGCATTCCCGCGATAAAAAGGGTGGAAACTCGACCACTAAACATTAGTACATCTTGCCTTCCCCTGTGATAGCACTCACAATGGCTAACATCAAGCTTCACTGCCAGCTCTGTGGAAAGAAGCTGTCAACAACCACCTTTGCTTGCTGTGTTCAGGTTGCAACCAACACATTCCCTCAGCAAGGCTGCATTACCACCGTCAACAATGCATTCGAGGTAAGCTAATTCATACACAGTGAAATCTGAGTATTAAAGTATGGGTAGACATGAAAATTATTGAAAGATAGTTAAGACCTACAGCAGAATACGCCTGAAAGACGTCTGCCCATGCGGCAAATGATTAACCATATACTTAATTCCTTACAGCAGGTGCTGGAAAGGGGTCTAAAGGTTCTAAGATCGCCACTCACCGATCGTCACATACCACACCAGGCAAGTTCTCACAAAGACGGTTTGAGGAGTGAATGTTGTATAACCCCCTCCTCGCATTATTGTGTAATAACTGTGTTTATGTTATGTCTTGCAGGGAACCTACAGCAGGACCTTCCCATACAACAAGTCTCGACTCGCCCCCTCTCACCCCTACCCGGTCCGTCCAGGTCTATTACACCGCAACCGGGACCATCGCGGATTCTCTCGCCCCAACCCGGCCGTCCAGGTCTATTACAGCACAACCGGAAATATCGCGTGCTCGTGTGAATAGAAAATATTATGAAAGTGACAGTGATGTTATTAGTGATAAGAAGAAGAAGAAGATAATATTGTAGAGACGCCGCATATTATCTCCAGGGGGGAATTATTTCAAGGGGCAGCCGTAAGGCTCGGCTTCAGCATTCCTAACCAAGACCAGCCATCTCCGTCTGATTACCTGCGCAGAAATCAAGATTATTTTACAGATGTCTTACAAATTCACCGCTCCACACTCGGATGCCCTCCCCCTTCCACGAAATCATTTACAGGGTTTAATATTACCCTCTCCAAGATAGACTTCACTACCGGCAATGTCACGCATATTGAAAAAGATATCACACTGTGCAGTTATGCAATATCTAGCGAAGACGAGTGTAGAAGAGCTGTATGCGGATGGGCAGAGGAAGCAGAAGCTAAACTAGAAGAGTGGTTATCAGATGAGGGAAGCGGACTCGATCTTGAATCCATTAATGCTCACGACATTACGATATCACATCTTCTAGTTCCCCAAGCAATTGGACGACATGTGGCATATCCTGAAGATGTTCGAGGGGGTCATTATATCTTCAACCCAACAGGTAACACAGACTGTGTCATACGATCCCTCGCGGCCGGAAAATGGCTAGCAGCTGGACGCTCAAAAAATAATCTACACAGAGCAGTCAACACTCCGGCTAAATGTGCGCGCCTTATTAAACATGACGCGGAAAAACTCCCCACCAGCTGGGAAACATTGGAGAATTAGAGAGAGACAATAGTCTCTCTATTTATGTCTATACCCTTGAAAAAACGAACATATTTCACGAAAAATATGCCATATTACAGGTGAGAAAAGGAAGAGAAGACATCAAGGAGCGACTGCGTCTTCACCTACTTCTTCTTAAAAATGAGCACGCCTGTCTAATAACAGACTTTAATAAGTACATGGACGTATTTACCATGAGAGGCAGGAACGTTCACAAGCACTTTTGTCGCACATGTTTCTCTTCGTTTCCCGATCAGAGATCAGCCGAATCTCACATGTCAGGATGTGAGATGCCAACAAAGATCACTTACCCGTTGCAGGGGAGTAAACTCGCCTTCGTGAATTATGGGAAAGCATTTGCACCATCACACATGTGTATCTACGACTTTGAAGCCTTCATGGACAAGACTGGTGGAGGGGAGAGATGTATAGCACAGCACAAAGCCTGTGCCTACAGCTATATCATAATAGACAGACAAGGTGAAGTAGTAGATAGTTTTCTATATCAGGGTGCCGACGCTGCCACGCACTTTGTTGAGAATCTGTCTAACAAATGGGCGGACATTGTAAAAAACATGCCTTATCATCCTCTCCACATGTCCAACGAAGATGAAGAAGCTTTTAAGAAGGCCGAAATGTGCGAAATGTGCAACCAAAAATTTCCCACACATCAACAAAAGCACAGACACCACGACCATACTAAAGATCGGATGAACTACATTGGTGCTTATTGCGCTCGCTGTAACCTCCAGATGAAAAATCATCGCACAGCTATCCCCTGTCTGGCTCATAATCACTCTTACGACCTCGGGCTCATTCTGAAAGAAATGCAAGTTAACACAAAAATCAAAATTCTTACGAAGCAAGGGCTTCGATATCACTCTGTGGAACTAAACAACCTGAAATTCCTCGATAGCTTAGCTTATGAACGCAAGCCTAAGCTCTCTCGCCAAAACTCATATTGAAAGCAGCCGCTCACTCAGGTATTCCAAGCATATCTTACGTCATTTGCCAGACGAAGCTCAGTCGCTGCTTCTAACGGGAAAGGGTATTTTTCCGTATGAGTACTTGGATGACCTGAAAAAGCTCGAAGAGACCAGCCCCCCCTATTGAAAAGTTTTATAGCTCCCTCACAGGTGAGACGGTTACGGAGGAGGAGTATGCTCATGCACTAAAAGTCTGGAATGCAGCCGGGTGTCGTACTTTAGGTGATTATTTAGAGTGCTACCTGAGGACTGATGTGGGTTTGCTAGCCGATGTGATTACAGAGTGGAGGTCTATGCTTGCTGAAAAGTACGATCTGGATATAGTTAACTATGTCAGTCTTCCCGGATATGCATACGATGCATTCCTAAAAATGACAAAAACAAACCTTGAGCTTATATCCGATCCAGAATTAGCCCGCAAAATTGAGCAATCTGTGAGAGGGGGACTGACAACATGTGTTCGCCCTCTCACGG